GAAATTACCTATCGAATCATTCTCCCTTTTTCCTTACTGGAAACGTAACAGGATTATTCTTTTTCGGCAGGTTTGCGGATAAAAATAACCGATCAAGCGTTGCTCTACACCTGAGAGCGTCTTTGAAAGGATCGTCGGATGAATCCGTATTATAGAGGATCAAAATTCATTTTCGTTTCAGTGTTTTTGGATTGGATTTAAAGCTCTGTGAGAACGCGGTTTTAACGCAATCCAGATATTCTAACCTGTAATCTTGGAGTTCTACTTGAAAAGTTTATCCTTGGTGATTAATTTTTTTCCTTATAGAACGACAAATGTTTTTAAATAAGAATTCTGAAAAAAGAATGCACTTAAGGGAGCAGAGAATTCAAAACGGTGAAACTTCTACTTTTGATGGATTATTCAGATATTTAGTAGAAACGAGAATAGAGTTTATGTTATATAATTTTACTTAAAATATAATTATAAGTTTTTGAATCTCCTAATCGGATTTTTTTTTTTCCCCGCAGGTTTAAATTTTTGCTTGTGGCTTACAATTTTAAACAAAGTGGTGTTCTTTCCTCCTTTTTTTCAATTCCTACTATTAGTTCACTCTCTCCTTATATATACACGTATATTTATTTATATATCTTGTTCAAATTTTTAATCGTTGATAAAACACTTTCTATTCATCCATTCAAGTGCAAATACTTTTTTTTAAACTTGTAGTGGATGACACTTGATTCTAATACAGTTTTTTCAAATATTAATTCATTAATTAATGAATAAATTGTAACAAAGAAAAATAATAGTCCAACACCATATATGAAATGAAACCTTGCTCATTGTGTAGTGCAATGGTTAGCTCGTTGGATTTCTAATCCAAAGGTTGTGGGTTCGAATTCCACCTGAGATGGCCCAATTTTTAAGAATGTGATTTCTTTTTTTCTATACTATTTTATTAGAATAATTAAATTTAGTGAATGTGAATAAACAGTAAAACAAATAAACAAAAAATAGTCTAACACCCTATATAGAAAGGAAAATGGAAAATTGCAAGGAAAATCGTTTTCTGTTTTGTCACTTAATAGTGTGATTCTGTATACATATTTATGTTACCGGCAAAGTATGAAATGCCTAGGCATTCTATAGAATGCCGGACGCTTTCAGGCAAAGTATGAAATAAGAGAATTATTTCATACTTTGCCTAGGCATTGTATAGAATGCCTAGGTATTCTATAGAATGACTAAAGCTGTTTAGGCAAAGTATGAAATAAGTTCATAATAAGGTTACTATATCAATGACGTACATTTTTCTAAATAATACAAATGTTATTCTGACAAAATAATGAGAATGCCATTAAAAAAATATTCAAAATACGTAAAGGTGCCTGATTGGTGAATCGTCTGCTTATTATGCCGGACGTTAGGGTTCGATTCCACGCGATAAATTTTTTTCTTCAATCCTTTTAATTATTTTTTAAAATTAAATAAATTTATTTATGAAAGGTTTATTAAATATTAAATGATATTTTATGTAATTATTTTGTATTTTATAAAGTAAAAAATTACTGTAGTTATTTATAAATATTTATATTAAATTTTATAAATTTATTTTATATTAATAAACAACATTTATAATAAAATATATAATAAATATTAAATGATATTTTATATAAAAATTAGTTACAAATAGTTTTATAATGTGAAATACAATATACTATTAATAAAATATTATATATAACATAAAATAATTTATAAAATATATTAATATTAAATAAATTATTTTATAATTAATATAATAAAAAATGTCTTTTTTATGTATTATTAGTTTAATTATTTTATAATTTTATAAAATATTTAAAAAGTCCTTTTCAAATAAATTTATTTAAGTTTAATAAATTTATTAAAATAATTTTAATAAGTTTATTTAAATAATTTTAATAAGTTTATTTAACTAATTTTAATAAAAATTAATAATTTTAATAAAAATTAATAATTTTAATAAAAATTAATAATTTTAA